CAGAGCACTAGTTGGGGTGGCCACCAGCATGCAGGGAAGAAAGAAGCCAAGTGCGAGAGAGAACCTTGTGGACCACAACCTGCTCTTGCAGCATCTAATCCCACCCAGGAGACCTAGCTCAGCCTCCCTGGGGAAACACTGGCCCATCAATGGAGTGCCCCAGGACTTAATCACTCCCAAGACCCCACCTCTGGACACTGCCACACTGAGGCATGAAGCTTCCATTCCTGTGAGGTTTGGCAGGGACACGCCCCATGCAAGCCATAGCCCAAGGTCAGTCCAAGGGCCAGATGAGGCTGAGAGCACAGGTGCACCATACAGGTGTGGAGGGCGAGGCAGGTGTCTGTCACAGCCAGCACTGAACAGCATGCCAAGAGCTCCAAAGAGGCCTGCTGAGCAAGCCTGCTGAGAGGACCCTCCTCTTCAGACCTCAACTCCCTCACCCATGGGAAAGAGGGATTGTTCACTTGACATCTTCAACTCTTGTTGGATTTTTGTTTCATTAAAAATAATCACAATGTATAGCATTTGACTGTTAATAAACAGGCTTAAATCCATTATCTTGTTGGCTGCCACAGTAAAGGTCATGTTGGCTATGTTAATTTAGACCTCTATGTCTGCAATGACAAATGAATGTGAACAACTTCCAAATCTCCTTGTTAATGAAATCTGACCGTATCAATAATAATAACTAATATTGGTGCAAACCATTTTAATTTAGAGTCTTTCCTCCTATGGTATTTCTCATACCCCCAGAATGACCCAGGTGGCCTGTGGACAGGTGTTATTGGCACAGTGATTAAAGAGCTAATGGAATGAAGATGGAGCAAGACAAGCGATTTTCCAGAGTCCCCATGGCTGACCCATGGATACAGGGGCCAAGATGGGAATTGCTCATTCTAAGTTGGTTTTCTTCTCCTCTACCTCTCCTTGGCACCCACTCTACCCAAGGGCTTGCTGAAGCCAGCAAGTGCCAGATTTATTTCTCCCTCCTGGGTCTCCACTGCATGCTTAGATTAAAATAAATAAATACATAGTGGCCATGGTGACTGCTTTCCTTAAACCCTGGGATGTTGTATCAGGCTGACCTACTCTGGCTTCCTCACCAGAATTTCCATCAAAGGTCTCAGAGCTTCATTCTACTGAAATCTTCAAAAGTCCATAAGAGACCTTGCCCTTAACTTAAAAAAAAAAAAAAAA